GTTTTTTTTTTTTTTTTTTTTTTTGGTGGTACCAGGGAATGAATTCCGGACCTTGTGCTTGTGAGGCAGGCAGCAGAACCACTGAGCCAAATCCCAAGCCCAGGATTGTAGGTTTGTAGAGTGGGAAATGAGATTCAATGTCTCCTGGAGGCCACACCGTACAGGGCTGTAACCATCTCACTAGAGGAGGTTGGCAGATTATTAATCATTGATGAGGCCAGTGACCAGTCTGATCTGTGCCTGGGGCAGAGATCACTGCTATTATGAGTGTATTAGAGAGATTACATGCATTGTGGAGCAAAGATACAGGGAAACTTTTTGATTTTTTCCAGTACCAGGGATCTAACTCAGGATCTTGCGCTTGCCAGGCAGTTGCCAGCACCACTGAGCTAAATCCCAGGCCCATAGAGAAACTTGTTTGCATATGTGATTCTGAGGGATTGCTTGCAAAAGAAAGGTAAATTGTTGAGTTTAGCTTTCAGCCTGTTACCCAGACTTTGTCCAGCTATACATTTGTCACTAAGCACCTTCTGGTCCATTACTTTTGCTTCTCTTATCCGCTTCTGGCAGGATAGCCTCCACCACAAGAAGTTAAAAAGTTCATTAAAAATAATGTACACAAGTCTGGGGATTTAGCTCAGTGGTTCCGCTGCCTGCCTTGCAAGCTCAAAGTCCCGAGGTCGATCCCTGGTACCAAAAAAAGGAAAAAAAAATGCACAGGTAACAGTCATTAATAAAGTTATCTGTGGAAGTCCTCAGTTTACATTTTGATCTTTTACATAGATCAGAAGAACCAGAAGAAAAGAAAGTACATACAGAAGACACAACTTCATCATCTACACAGATGATTGATGGTGACTTACAAGCAAATCAAGCTGCATATAATTATAGTGCCTGGTATCAAGTGAGTCCACATAATTCTTTGTTCATAGATTTTTTTTTTGGTACCGGGGATTGAACTCAGGTCCTTGTGCTTTTGTTCATAGATTTTATTAGAAGCATATTGTAGGATACTTCTAAAAGTAAAAACAACCCTTTTTGGCTTTGTTGACTGGGTAATCATTGCCTTTTGCAGTTAAGTCTTTGAGTTGCATTGAGCACAGGCTTATTTTCTTAAATGTAATTGCTTTAATTTTCATATTTGAAACTTAGTTGTAGTTCTGCTATGCTAATGTTTACCTTTTCTTTTCAGTACAATTATCAGAATCCTTGGAATTATGGACAGTATTATCCTCCCCCTCCAACCTGATGGGAAAATGTAAATTTCAGATGGAGTATGTGAAAAGTATGAAACTATTTTTTTTTAAACAAGGGATGTAAACATAGCATAAGCTTGTTGTATTTGATAACTTGTCTTCCCTGTTTGTGTGTAACATTTATTAGAGAAAAATGTCAATTAGTAGCTTACCACAGATACTATTTCCTAACATTTATAAAATTACTTTTTATTGGAGAACTATTTTTTTTTTTATTTTTGCATTAAGTGGTCTAGAATTCTTTTGCAATGCATTTGCAAGAGTTTTGTAGCCTTAAGTGTAGGAAAAAAACTGACTGCCAATCATGTCAGTGTAGTACAAGATTCTGGAAACACACAAGGGCTGGCTAAGGACTTACCTCTTCTGTAAAAACAATGATTTTTAATCTTTGCTGACAAGGTTGTGTTGAGTGTTTCAGTTATACTTGTGAGTTCGGATCTAACTGCAGGAAAGATACACCAAGATACTATGCCTTGGGATAGATTATAAACAAGAAAATGTAATGTTTGCATCCCTTTAAATGAAAATCATATTTAAAGTATGTTGTTCCAGGAGACTTTGTAATAGAATATTCATGCAAAACTTGTGAGCAAGCTTTCATTTTGATCAAACTGATCATCTTCATTTTTGTAATAAAACTGAAGATTCATCTAGTAGTTGTTTTATGAATTTATTTTGAGGGAGCACCTAATGTTAACTTTCTATTTAACACTGTGGTTCACCACTTAGAAGCTGACGTTCCCTAAACTTAATTACCTTCCTGCTAAGATGTTAGCCCTTTTCACCTTTCTGGTTCCTTTCAAGTTCTGTGCCTCTGACTTCTTACCATTTCAGAATTATTTAAACATTTCGGGTTCATTATTAGTTACTGTACCTCCTGCTTAGATGTCAGTAGTCCTGCTTACACTTACCTAATCAGAACATTAAAACCAATCACACAGCAAGGCAGTGGATATATTTTAATTGAGCTTTTCAGTTTTACAACATGAGGTAAAAGGAAATACAGTTATCCTTAACCAGTATTTCACACAGATATAGTAAAATATTTTAGACTTCAGGGACTTATAAGGGGTTACATTTCTCAAAAATTGGGAGTCAATTTAACTTAACTGAATTTTCCAGTTGACTCTTTACAACAATAACAAGTTCTAGATACGTAAGTTTCAAGGCCAAGGTTTAATCGCTTTGATGTCTTCAGATCTGAAATACTGCTGCTTCAATCAATATCCACTAATTCTACTTCAAAAATTAGTTTTGCATTTGGTGGAATTCTGTTGAAAAAGTCAAGGTAAATTTGATAGAAAAATCTCTCCCCATCCTCAATAGCCTTATAAAATTAGAATTGTGTATTCTGAATATTAGTAATTAATCCCAAAATGAAGAGCTCTACTGCTAATTCAGAATACAATACATACTCAGCTATAGGCTCCTTAAAGTATCTTTAATGACAAGTGTAAACCTGTCAATGCAGGCTGACCAGGTCAGCTGAGCTTCAGCTACCATGCTGTCAGTTACCTCTGTGAAGTGCAGCTCAGTACTCAAAACAGAAAAATTGATTTCATTTTACTGACTGTATATGTTACATTAAAGTATGTAAGAAGTCAGTACATACTTACTGTGAATTTAAAGATGCTAAGTTCAGAGAATTTATGCACACCAGACTGTTTAAGTGCTGCACATAGGAGAGGTAGCTGCAGCTGTCCATCTGGTTTTGAAAGGCTGAGAACTATTTCCAAGTAAGTTTAACTGATAAGACTACAGCTATTTCTACCCCCCACCAATAAAAACCCTTTTTAACTTGGCAAAGAGGAATGGAACCGACAACAGATATAAATTGTCTTGGTCTGGCGTTGTTCACAAACTGGACCTTTCAAAAAAGTATTATCATTTGTATTAATACTTCTTAACACTATATGGTCCTGTGGTCTCCATTTCACAACTGGCAATCCCTATAGTGTGTTCTATATATATTACCATGAGCTGTATTTGCACTCCACTGCTTGCTAATTTTTTATATTGGGTATAACAACTTACTGGAGTAAAACCTTGCATGTATTAAGAACTGTATTTCAATGATGAAAGTTAAATTCTGCAGTTAAGATCTTGGAAATTGAGAACTTCAGCAAGAGGAAAAGGGGAAGAATTTACCTCAAGTTTGAATACTTTTTTTTTTAAGCCTTTTGAGACAAGGTCTCGATATTAGTTCAGACTAGTCTTATAACTCTAGGTGATCCTCCTCCTGCTTCAGCCTCCTGAGTACTGGGATCACAGGTGTGTACCACCACGCCTGGCAAGTTTGAATACTTTGTACCAACAGAAAATACTGAGTGCTCTCTGCTGGGCATAGTGGCATTGGGAAGCTGAGGTAGAAGGATCAGTTGAACCCAGGGGCTTGAAGTCAGCCTGGGCAATATAGCAGGATTTCACCACACACAAAAACCCATGTCTGTATTGGACGGGCTGAGGCATGAACATCTGAGAATCAAGATTATACTGGCACAATTCCTGATCTAGAAGGCCAGCCTAGATAGCGCCTTTCTAAACACCTTCAGCTGATCTTCATCTCGTTTTTTCTTTTAATTATGAAGGAAAAAAAGGATACTTAGCATCAGGCTGGCCTTTCTTTCCGTAAGCCCATTCTGGTTCAATCTCAAGTCGAGCTTTTTCACCTTTACTCATAGTCAAAAGTGCTTCATCCCACTAAAGTCCAGAGGGGGGAAAGAAAAGATATTAAAAATAACCCATGCAGTATCACAACAGCAAACATATTATGTTATGTGTATTTATGTGCATGCATATTGAGCATTCTGGCACTGGATTTATGTTCTAAGGACATTATCCTTGGCTGAGTCCACAAATCTTAAGTTTCCATTTTCAGTGAAAAAATTATTTCATTAGTATTTTTCAGTGTGGTAACACTCCTTCAATATGTAAAAGCACTTTAGTAAACTGTAGCATGCCATATGTATGGAAATCAGTTTGTTAGACCTTTATAAAAACCTTGCTACATGATAGGACAAACTGAAGCATATTTATAAACTAGCAACTATAGTAGGCAAAACCATCTTTTTAAAAGAAGCTAAAATCTAGGCTACCTCTTCAGTTTAAAATTTGGATATTAAATCCAGTTATATCAACATAATATACACTAGAGTCACAGTTGGAAACTGAGAATATCATGAACTAGAACAAATTTACTGTAGGTATCTAACAACTAGAAACACTGCTCCATATACAGCTGCCATCAACTTTGTCTAAGTAGGTAACAGTTGTTATACTCTACTAAACCTTTTACAAGATACTTTATATTCTATTTTTGCCTCTGGATATGACTGAACACTACCTTAGGACTTGGGAGTACATATAGTAATATATTAAAAATTCTTGCCAGGTGCAGTGGCACACACCCATAATTTCAACACTTAAGAGGCTGAGGGAGGAGGATCTCCATGAGTTCGAGGCCAGTCTGGGCTGCATAATGAGATTTGTCTTAAACCCCATTCCCCAATAAGAATTCTTATAATTGCATTTAAATAGGCATTTCAGTCATCAGTGTTTGATGTTTTGAGTAGTTACAATTTAAAATGAACAGTGAATAGGACCTAGCGTAAAAATAGTCTTAGGTATGCTAACTCCCTGCCATTAATAGTCAATACAGCTCAAGCCTATTTTCTCCTTTTTTCAGAGTTTCTTTCTATTATCTCTCATGAATAGGTAAAACATGGTTTGGCTTTAAAATTTTTTTTACAGAAACTCCTGCTTTTACAAGTAGTTAAGTGGAAGAAGCATTTTACCTTTTCTGATTACATATAAGTGGTAGGACTGCTATGTAGTATAAGAATCTTACAGACAAACTAGAGGGCCAAACATTTTAACAAAGAATTACAATACCTTATGAAGAAAAATAATGAAAGGATTAGAAATAACTAATATGAGGTCCTATGTTAATGCTTTGTCTTATGCTTACTTACTCTTGTAACAACCCTGAGCTACACGATATTATTCTTTTATCCATGGGGAAAAAAGAAGACCCAGACAGCTTGTGCTAGATCAGCTAGCAAGATATAGTACCCAAATGTCCAACCTCAAACACTGGTTTTATCATATTCCCAATTTTATTTATTTATTTATTTTTTTGAGACAGGGTCTTGCCACGTAGAGTTCAGGCTGTCCTTGAACTCTGTGATCCTCACGCCTCAGCCTCCCAAGTGCTGGGATTACAGGCATGTGCCACCATGCCTGGCACCCCAACTGAAATTCTTTTTCTGAGTGTTTTTTTTTTTTGTACTGGGGATCAAACTCGGGTCCTTAGCCTGGTGAGGCAGGTGGCAGAACCACTGAGCTAAATCCCCGGCCTCCAACTGTAATTCTTTATAGTACTATATCACAATAGCATGTACCAGAATGTCCACTGATTTACTGCCATTCTTTACTTACTCCTCTGATAACTTTGCCCACTCCAACCTTAAAACTTAAGGGCTTGGCATTTTTCTTCTTCTTTGAACCTGTAAAACAGATTTTCCTAATAGTTAAAGATATACTCTAGGTTTTTAATTACTGAAAACTGAGGGAATTTTTTTTGTTTTTGATACAGGTCTCACTCTGTAGCTCAGGATGACCCTGAACTCACTATGTAGCCCAGGCTGACCACAAACTTGTGATCCTCCTGACTCAGTCTCCGGAGTACTAGGATTTGACGTACACCACTAAACCTGGCAGAAAGTTTTTTAAAATTTACTTCTGTAATACTATGTATTTGAGAAGAAAACTTCAGAAAACCAGGTTATGTTCAATCAGGAAAATTCTAGATGTAAGTCTAAATGAAGGTAGGGGATCAGGTCCTACAGCCATACCTCTGGACAGTACACTCTTTTGCCTTTTACATTGACAAGCATCACATTGGGACACTGCTGTGGTTTCAATATGGTTTCCTCCACTGCGATTCCTGTTAAGCCTTGGTTCCCAATGCAGTCGTGTCAAATGGTGCTGGGATCTGTGAGAGGTGACTCAGTAGTCAACAGGGATTCATGTTTTTCTCAATGAGTTTTTGCTTTTGAGGGACTGGACTGGCTACAGCAAGAAAAGACTGTTAATAAAGCAAGCCTGGGGCTCTGCCCTTGCTTGCACACATGACTCTGATGTGTTCCTGCCCACTCCCTTTTCTACCTTTCCACTGTGCACGGAGCACTGTGTGGCCTCAGCAGAAGCTGAGCAGAGCCTCCACCAGGCTGTAAGTGGGAACCAAGTAACCATTCTTACAAATGGCCCAGTCTCAGGTGTTTGATGAAGAGTGGAAATGAACTGAAAGAGTGGGCAGGGTGGATCATGCTTGTAATCTGGAGGCTGAGATAGGATCGCAAGTTCCAGGTCAGCCTGGGCAACTTAGCGACATCCTGTCTTGAAGACCAAAGAAAAAGTAAAAGATTATGACTTACTTGTTTGAATATTAGTATCAAAAACTGTCCCATCCTGTAGCGTTCCTGTGTACCAGCAGTGAACAACATCTCCCTTTTTGGGAAAGTTGGTTTTATCTCCCTTTTTCAGAATAGATTTTGTGTATTTTGGTGGACCCTAAAATCAAAATCAGTGTACATTTAAAATCAGGTTCATTTAGAATGATGGCAAAGAATACTTACTTTACCTACCTCTAGCAACTTCTATAAGCTAAACTATCTCAAGACTGATAATAATATTAGTTACTTACACATCTGTAATTTAATTTCAGATAACCTCTAGCATCTTTGCTAACCAAAAATTCTTGGGCAAGAAGCCACAAAATAAAACTTAGTTCTCAAGGTTAGAAAACTCATTACTTTATTAAACTCCTATAAAATCACAAAGCACTGAAATAGTGACTTTTCTCCAAAGATCTGAGCTGTTTTAGAAGCATAATTGGTGTTTCTAGACTGTATCTAATTAAGATGAATTCTGCAATATTGTCTCTGGCCCTGAACTTGAAAATAAGTTCAAACAATAAAACTACCTATCAAAATTTTGAAAACAAGCATATGCCCTTGGGGAAAAAAAGATTATCAAGGTCTTTTTTAAAGAAACAGGATAATATAATCAATTAGTGGTTTTATTTATGTATTTAGAGGTACTAAGTGTTGAACCCAAGGCCTTCACCCTGAGCTACATTCCCAGCCGTTTTTAAAATTTTGAGATGGTCTCATTAAGTCACTGGGCCTGAATTTGAGATTTTCTTACCTCAGCCTCCCAAAGTACAGTGGTGCCTTGTTTCACAAACTTAATTTGTTCCATGACCCTGGAAGATGGCTGCAGCATTTGCAAACAAAAACAGAATTTTGCCAAATGCTTTTGTTTGTAAGCAAGTAGAATCGTGCAAACAGCCCTATCCAGTTCAGAGCCTTAGGATTAATACTTTCAACTAAAGCTAGGCTGCTTCCCAAAAGGAAAAGCTATAGCTTAAATACCCTGGGTACTTACTAAAGTAAATGAAAGCACTGATTGTCTCAATGTGAACAAGCCATACATAGCTACTGTTTCAGTTTGGATCTTGAATGTCCCCCAAAAGCCCATGTGGTGAAGGCTCCAGGCTGAGCTTGGTAGTGCTACTGGAGGTGATGGAATCTTTAGGAGGTACGGACCAGTGGAAGGAAGCTAGGTTAGTGGGGAAAGTCCATGAAAGGGATTGTTGTACCCCAGCCCAGAGCCTTCCAGTTTCTCCTTTCCTCGTTGCTGCCATGAGGTGAACCTGTACCATGTACTATGTACTCCCACCTAGATGCCCTGCCCTACCAGGGGCCCAAAACTGTGAGCCAGCAGAAACCTTCCCTAGGGCTGGGGATTTAGCTCAGTCATGTTGCCGCCTGCCTCGCAAGTGCAAGGTCCTAAGTTCAATCCCTGGTACCAAAAAAATAAAAAAAACAAAAAACAAAAACACCTTTCCTCCTTGTGAGTTGTTTATCCCACATATTCTGTCAGTGATGGGAAGCCAACAAAGCTAGTGACTACTGTGTTAAATAATGTAGCTCTAAAATGGGTGGGGTGGGCCACACCTAGCTACTTGGGAGGCTGAGGCATGAAAATTTTAAGTTAGAGGTCAGCCTGGGCAACTTAGCAAGATCCTGCCTCAAAATCAAAATGAAAAAATGAAGGTTGGGGGGTATAGCTCAGTGCCTATGAGGGCTTGAGTTCAATTTTTAGTACCACATACACATAAGCAACTTTAGACAGCAGAGAATTTCTAGACTGAAGATTTTTGAATGGGGTGTAGTTCGCAAAGTATTCGGTCATTTTTGGGCTAAATGCATCACAGAGCTTGAAGGCAAAAACCTTCTGAGGCCTTCAAATGTTTCAAAATTCAAACAGGTTGAGCACACTAGTGCAGTCCTGCAATCCCAGCAACTGGAAGACTGTGGCAGAAGGATGGCTGCCCTAAGTTTGAGGCCAGCCTGAGATACATAGTGAGATCATAACCACCCTGAACTACATAGTGGGACCCAGTCTTAAAAAAACCCAAGTAAGTAAATAAATAAATGTTAAAAAAAAGGAAACGGGAAGATTTGAAGAAGAAAGGATATATGAGAACAACAGTCTTAAAGGGGACATAAGGCAAAACACTGATGCCAGGAAGAAAGGAAGAGCAAGGTTATGATTGTAGACATTCACATTCCGGTAAAACAAAACAGAACAGAACAGAAATACATGATACGAGTACAAGGGACTGAGAATTTGTTACATAAACCTTAATTTACGTTGGCAATAAAACGAAGAACTGAGCAATAGCATAAATTCTGCTAGTAGCAATGAAACTAGAAAACAACATTTAGTATGAATTTATGCAAGGCCCAATAAACCCATCTAATTATGTATTTCTTCACAATGCTTCCTATAGAAGGGATCATCAGTAAGGGACTGAACAAGGCTATGGAATCTAGGAAGACAGTGACAGCACTGCACTCAAGCTGGTTGGGGAGAGAGAGGGGAGAGGGACAAAAAGGATTGGTTCTATAGGAGACATGAGAAGGAAAGAGGGTCAATGATTTTAAGCTGGAAAGAAGGGAATGGCTATAGTTATTTTCTTAGAGACAATGATACAGTTTAGGACTCTCACAAGATTGCTGTAGATCATCCTGTCCTTTAGGAACTTGCCTTGTACGTCTTTATCATCTGACTCCTAACAGCACCTTCACTGTAATTTTCTAGATGACAACTATGATGTCAATTGCTTCTGACACCCATTAGTAATCACAGCCATATTTACCTTAGTAGCTGCTCAATATTTGCTCAGTAAAGAAAAAAAAAATTGCTCCATAGATATATTTAATAGACTTTAGTTATAAACCTCAGAATGCTTTGTGAGTATATATACACAAACATTAACTTGTGTTTTTCAACCAACAGGAAAACATTATGCAAAATTAATCAGCTTCAAGCATGTATCTGTAACTGTGTACTTGAGTTTACACTTTATCCACAAATACCCAAATGGTACATCTCTTTAAGAAAACTGCCCGGCGCAGTGGTGCACACCTGTCTGTAATTCTAGTACTTGGGAGGCTGAGGCAGGAGGATCACCAGGAGTTCAAGGCCAGCCTGAACCACAGAATGAGCCTAATCTACATAGTGAGATCCTGTCTCAAAACAAAACACCAAAAAAACCCCAACAAATAAAATTGAGATTTTAAAAAAACAAAAAACAAAAACAAGTCTACATCCCTTTAAAAGAATTAAAGATAGATTACTGTTGCTAATACTAAGACTGCTATCAATGAGTATGCTTAGTTGGCAAGGCATTAACAGAAATGTCAAGATTAAAAACAACTCAGGTCTGCTAATGCTGTTCTTATCTCTAAGGCTTCCCAGCTAGAGAAATGATTGTATCTGGTTCTTCATACCATGATACCAAAATTATAAAACCCTGGTTGGGAAAGTTGTGCCAGGCTTGGACTGTTTCTATTGCCAGGGACACTATGGACATCAGGAAAAGCTAAAATTAGGAATCAAGTTCCTGCCACTCAGGAACTTCTATGTCCAAACTGGCCACAGAATCAGGTTCCTAAAATAGCTTTGAGAGTTCAGAAGGTCTGGCCTGGCAAAAAGGTGAGACTAAATACAAAGTCAAAAGTATTTCACGGGCTAGGCCACTAACGGTAAAGGACCAGTCTTTTGGCTTCTATCTACTGGCAAACACCTACAGAAGGTGGCACACTCTAATCAAAGTCTGGCTCACCGCAAATGACCATATTCAACCATCCCTCACTTCAAAAAACAAAAAACAAAAAACCCATACAAACCTCATCCAGTGTCTCTTCAGTCTTGGTTTCCTTGGGCTTTTCTTCATTAAGCTTCACATTTTTCACTTGCTCGGTCACTTTGCTTACACTTTCAGTACCTTTGAAACGCTGTGAAAAGCAATCTAGCATCAGCATTCAGGGCAGGCTAAAAATTAGGGACAGCCAGATATTCAGCCTCTTAAATGAACACTTGCATAATGAATAGTTATATAAATCATCCAAGAAACTGTAAGAACCAAGAAAGAGACTTGTAAGCATTTTAATCAATAAATTATGATCCTCAGCAGCTTATATGAATCTATTAAATTACCTTAAAAAGATTCTTTTGTGTGGAAAATGAACACTTTGTAGTGAATATTGCAGAACTTCCTAAAGTTTTCTAAAGGCTCAGCTTAAATCTGTCTTTAAATTCTTTTAATTAAATGGAACTTACTTTCTCCGTATAGGATTTTACATACAGAACATGGTAATACCAACTGACCTAAAGGATTTATATATAACTTAAGAATTTGTCTCAGTTTAAGCTACTAGGAAATTGTTTTTAAAAATCTGGCCATTTTTGAAATACCAAAACATTCTGCTATGTTGCAGATTAGCCCTGCTGGATTTCAAAGCTGGTCCACTTATGATTAAGAAAAACTGCAGGGAGCTTGGAATTCAGCTTAGTGGCACCATGACTGTCTTGCAAGTGCAAGGTCTGGAGTTTGATCCCCAGTACCAAAAAAAAAAAAAAAA